ACAAAGGAGCACCACAGACGTCAGAACTGGGCGGACTCTGGTAACCATCTAGTCCAATCCTCTGAAGGACCAGAGATGGCAACATAAGACTGGAGAGGAGAAGGGATTAGCCCAAAGTCATAGGAAAGGCAAGAATGGGCTGGCCTCTGCCTTACATTTGAATATTTTATGTTCTTCTAGGAAAGCAAAGGCAAAAGTCCAAGCTATTGCTGTGGAATCAGAACTGCTTCATAGTTGACCCTCCAGCGAGTTTCGGAGGCTCTCCATCTTTCTTCTGCAGAGCAACTGGTGGATTCAAACCACCAGAGTGGGTGACTCTTTGGGTTAGCAGTGCTACTCTTCACCACTGTACTAGCAGGAGGCTATAAAGTTCAAGAAGGAGGCTCTCCACTATGGGTTATATAATCTCTCTTCATATATCCATCCATTCATCCAACAGTGGTGGGTAATCAGTTGTGCTCCAAGTACTGACTGAGCTCTAAACACACTGCTCTGTCAGGGTCTAAATAGGGGAATTCTCACTATAACCAAGGAAACCTCTCTTCATTCACTTACGTTAGTTTATCAATATGAGGGATGTCATATTCACAGTGGTCCCATCTGCACATGCATCCCAGAGGAGTCTGGGGTGCCCAGAGTGCCTTTGAAAACTGATGTTTTAGAACTACCTTCAGACACAACTTATAAGCCAGAGAGAGAATCAGTCTCTATATCTTTTTTAATCAAAGATGTCTCTGTAGCACGTTTTCTCCTTTTCAGGGAGAAATGACGATCTCCCACCACACACACATAAATGCACACACACTTCGCCAGATAACAGCATGATGGTTAACAACAGCAACAACAACTGCCCATCCTGCAAATGCTGCAAACATGAGTTTTGGAATCAGACAAACCAGATTCTTGCTACTTGGCCCACTTGGCCTCTCTGTGTAATCACAGCCAACTGACTTAGTAGTTTTGATCCTCAGTTTATTATCTGTAAGAATATATATGATAATATTTCTCATAGCATCCTTGTGAGGATTAAAGGTAATACTTAGGAAGTCTAATGCAGCTTCCTATACAGACACTAAGTTCAGTGCCTGATGATTTTGTGGTTTCTAGGCTTCCTAATGAGAGTTTTGTAAAGCTTCTCCAGCATTTTGAACACTGGCAGCCCTATCCAAGTACTCGGGCTCTGTGCATGGTGGCAGCTGGTGGCAGTGCCTGGAAGTAACAGACAGAGCTGACTGAAATCTGCAAATCTCAAGATTAGCGTAAGATCTGAGCTCAAGTCTCAGACATCACCAGGTACCAGAGTCAGGGGATATACCACCATTTGTTAATCCAGCTTTGCTGTGGTCAAAGGATAAACAGTGGTGGTAGCTGCTTGGAGACAACATCTATGAGGTGGAGGTGAGGCCTCTGAACATGGAGAGGCCCAGATTTTTTTCTAATTACAGGATCTGTACCATTTTACCTACTCAACAATCTCCCACAAGCAGTGTCTTAGGATCTCCTCACAAAATAAACTCCAACAGGCTGGTAACTACCATCCCCTTGGAAGGATGGACAGTATCAAGCCTTGTCCCAGTTACACATACATTGGTGGTTTAGTTCCAAGGCTGAAACTAAAACCTGGAAACAGGTTTCCTAGCAGGCAGCCCACTGTGCTGAGCTGTACCTACAATACATCAGGAAACTCTTTAGCGGCCCTGCCCTCACTGTCTCCACCCCAGCCAGAGGAAATCATTTCTCTACAGTGGAAATGCTACAAAAGTAAATTTGTAAGATTCTGAGTTTCAAAAGGGAGAAAGGACCAAAGAAAGTATCCCAGGATGATGGCACACTTCTGGCCACAGGGGAGAATAGAGAGGCAGCGTGGGGCGTCAGGAGAACCACAGCCTTCATTTACAGTCCAGCAGATTGAGCTCTGTTCCTTATTAGCTGTGTGACCTTGGGCAAGACACTCAACTTTTCTGAGTGTCCATATTATAAAGTCCTGGCAGGAGAATTCAGTGAAATGACAAAGCCCTTGAGTCGTCCTGCAGGGTGCCCGGCACATGGAATTGATTATAACCATGATGTGGAATGCCAAGATTGGAATGGGGCTTGAAAGATGACCTAATCCTGGTGTCTCATTTCATAGGGAGGGAAAATAGGACTCAAAGATGGGAAGTGACTTTTCCAAGGTCACACAGAAAACTCATGGTGATATTGTGCCCAACACCCACTATTTAGATCCCAAACTACCAACAGATTCAATCTCCCAAACTGCACAAGCCCAAGAAACCTTTTCAACTCTAGCAGCTCCTTCAGGCCATCAAGTCCTAAAATGTAAACTCTTTCTACTTAATAAGGAAAAACATGGTTTTCCTATCCCAAAATAATAAAAGATATTCAAATTAAAACAAAAATCTCAGGCTTTAATACAAATCACTCTTTTGAAGGGTCTTCCCCCTTTCCCCCGCCTTCCTCTCTCATCCCCACCTCCACCAGATATTTTGCAATAACAGTAATGTTGAGAGGAAAGAAAAATAAAAATCTGATGCACTTAACAGATATTTCAGCACAATAATGTATCACAGATGTTCATATCAAACTGTGCACGCGCGCATACAATTTTACTGAGAAGGCTGTTGCATTTCTGACTTTGGGTTTTAGATGCCTAATAACCCTATCCACACCAGCTCCGGATCTCATTCTCCTCAGTCAGTCCAAAGCTTCCCAAGAGGACAGAGGGGAGATTTCATCACCTCACTCCAAAATGATAACGGGACAAACTGGCGCAGTTGGACACTCTGGCAGGTGGTGAAGGGTGTGTAGATTAGGAACCAAAAGGAGTCCTGTCTTCTTTTGTTTGGATCTCACTTCCTATAGCCCTCTGGAGAAGTTTGGGACCCAGTGACGATTTTAAGAAGGACCCAGGTCGGTGATGGTGTGGGCACAATTTTGAAACCAGAGATTTCCGTTCGTTTGATCTTCAAACATGGGCTTTGGAGACTGTCAGCGGCTCCTTGCTGGCCGATGAATGGTTCTCAGGAACTTTTCCTGAAACATAACTTCACACACTTGCCAGCAAATGTTTTCAACCTACCAAAGCTGTCATTTGGTTGAACAGCGGTGTTTCCAGACCCTGAAGATAGTTTTGTTGTTTTAAAGGAGACAGATAAAAGCCAGGGGCTGTTTAACCAGAAGGTCTGTTCGCTGCCTTCAGCCCTAATCGGATCCCTTTCTGGTATAAAAAAGTGTGTTGAGAGTGATGGTGGATCCTGAGTCAGCCTAACCTAAAAAAGATATCGAGGCCTCTGGACAGAGAGGCCTCCCACAAACCTCCCTACAAAATGAGATGGGCGGTGAGCGCTGGGGGCTCCCCCATCACAAATAATATCAGCTCCAAAAGCTGGCAAGGGAAAAGTCACTTCAGAGAGAGAAAGCCGGTATGTTCAGAGGGCTCAGTGCTGGGCCAGAGAATACACAGGATTTTCCCCCGTGGAGACAGAGTCAGGCGTAGTCAGAACCCCGCGGGGCGTGACTAACTGCCCCAATATTCCTGCCACCAGGGCCCTCTGGGTAAGGACTCCACAATTATGGGAGAGCCAGCAGGAGAACCGACAAACCGGCCTTTCATTTGGCCGGCAAATCAATCTGGCTTCTTACCTCCCTGGGGACAATATTGCATTTCCCCTGGAAAAACAAAGGCCAGAGATCTCCAAAGGGGGATCAGTTTCTGCTGCTGTTTCCCTGGTGAAAAGCTTGCAACATCTCAAGAGCAGCAAGCAGGTCTGGTCCGCAGTGCTGGAGTTTCTGGCCCAACAAATTTATGGAGCTGTCTCCTCAATGGGGAGCACCTTTCAGGGACCACGTCATTCAGGTCATTGATCCAAACGCTGTCCTGGAGCCTCCTTGCAGGAGCCTGGGCCCCCAATGGGAGCCCTCATTCCAGGATTGACAGCCCTGCTCTCAAGGCACAGATGTGAACTCATTGTTCCCAGGCCCTCAGAGTTGAGTTTGGGGCCAGTGAGTTGCAAGTGACCTCTGCCCATGGAGACCGGGCTTTTCATGACATTTTGCTGGATCAGGTCTCTACTCGTGGAGACTTTACACCTCCTAAATCCCACCCTTCTCCCTGCCCCCACACGTGAGTGCAGAAATTAGAACTGTCAACTTTTAAGCGAACATACTGTTCTAAAATTATTAACCCCAAAACGATCCACGCTGACTTTCTCCTAGTTGAAGGAGGCAGTTCGATGGTCACCTAGAGCTTCTGGATTTTAAAAAAAGTGTTGCTATGGAATCAATTTCAATTCATGGCAACACAATGTGTTAGAGAGTAGAGCTGATCCACTAGGTTTCCTATATGAGAATCTTTATAGAAACAGATTGCCAGGCCTTTCTTCCATGGAACAGTTGTGTAGGTCTGAATTGCCATGCTTTAAGTTACTAATCAAGTGCAAACCACTTATGTCATATCAGGACATGAAGTTCTGGAAAGGCCCAGGAAATTCAGCATTACTTAACATCGAAAAGCAAACCAGTCTATTATACAAACATGAGAACCAGGACCCCTCCATCCCCCACCCAGTCACAAGTGCCTCCTGTCCTCTCTGCTGCCTTCAGATGCACCAGGGCCTGTGTGTGCCTGTGCAACCTCAAAGACAGCCTCTTGCTCCTGAGCTGCCTGGCCAGGGACCTTGGGAAAGCCTAACACAAACCAGCAACTCTCCCTTTTTATTTTTGATCACTCTGATGCTCAAAGAGAAATTCTTTCTGCTCAGGCAAGCACAGCAGGCAGGGAGAGTATTTCCCCAACAGGTATCACCACCATAACAGAAGAAAGCACCCAAACTCTCACTCTCAATTCTGGTGCTGCACACAATCTCCCTCACACCACAAATCAGTGGCAGAAGTAGCCCACATCCCAAAAAGGGCTTCTCCACCAGGGGAAAGGGCCTGCCCTGCCTGCAGGAAGAGGAAGAGGTCAGGGCTTGCTGGGAGAGCTGGGACCACGTGCCTACCTGGGAGAAGTTGAGCCCATTGAGTGGGTGGCACTGCTCCTCCACCCGCTCCACTGCCCCGGTGCTCTTCTTCATCTTCTCAGCCTGCTGTGCCAGATAGAGGTCCAGCACTGGCACTCCACGGGAGCGCACGTCGGTCTCCGTCAGTGAGTTCACCATGAGCATAACCCACACAGGCCTCTTTCGCTCCCAGTTGCCAGCAATGGCGTTGAACAAGTAGTCTGCATAGAGCCCTTTGCCACGCTGCGCAGGCGTCATCCACGAGGGCATCATGAGCTTCACGTAGTCCAGGTGGCGCTTCAGGCGCCAGTACAGCTCCCGAGGCAGGACGTCCTGCAGGTTCTCCCCATGCGGCAGCAGTTGGCAGCTGGCCAGCGCAGAGATGGTATAGGGGTCTGTGAGGTCAAGCTCAAAGTAGACGCGAGCACTGGCCTGAAAGGCCGCCTTGGAGTTGTCTGGGATAAAGTCCCACACACGAGTGTACGGGACGTGAATGGTGCCAAACAGGTAGGCTGGGGGGTCACGTCGAATAGTCCACAAGAAGGAGTTCAGTTCCCCCTGCTGGAAGAGTAGACGAGAAGGAAGACAGTGAGCAGAGTAGAAGCAAGGTCGGCACAAAGGACTGGCAAGGGAACAATGGGACTGGAGGGCATACAAATATACAGGTGAGGGCTTTGGAACCTGGAAGACTCATGCAAATCCTGTCACTAAATGTATTCATTCAGTGTATGATCTTGAGCTAACCATTTTACTTCCTACAATTCCTCATGTGTAAAATGGGGCACGCGCAGCTCTTTTAGAGGATGTCACGAAAACTAGAAAACACAATATAATATTTACGGTTGCATGTCAGTGAGTTAGGACTGACTCATAGTTGACTCTCCAGCAGGTTTTCAGAGGCTATCAATGCCACAGGAGGAGATTAACCATATGTCTCCCAAGAAGAACCTGGTAGATTTGAACTATGTGACTTCGGGTTGGCAGTGTAACTCTTACCTATTAGACCACCAGAACTACCAATGTAAGGATATCAAGACCTAATGGCAGTGGTAGGCACAGAGCACATCAGCAGTGAAGGAAAGGTACCACAATTAGCTTTCATCCTGAGTGACAAAAACTGCCACACTACTGGAGAATATTCATGCTTGGCCAAGTCAAACCTTCACTGGTGGTGTTTCATGGGGAGGGTGGGGAGAAGGAAACAAGTCTTGCTCTGGCAAGAAGGAAGGAAGTCATATAAATGTTAAATCCAACCATTAGAAGATCCATGCCAAAAGCACTTTGAAAGCAGAACACCTATTAAAAATAGCACGCCTATTTAAACAGCTACTTCCAATTCATCTGGGTGGATACAATTTTCCTTTCGAAGGGCAGGGCTGGGGTGTCAGCTACGCTGGTGAACCAGCTGAGACCATAGATGAGAAAGTGCTTTAAGCCCTGCAAGGCCAAGTGTAGTCTCAAGCTTTGGTTTGGAAGGGGAAAATTTCATAGAATGAGTCCCAAGAAAAGTGCAGTTTTTAAGAGGGTTCCAGGTTCCTCCCCTAAGGGTATATATCTGGTCTTTGACCCCAATTCTGTCATCTTCCATGACCAAAGCACAGACTGTGTGTGTGTGTGTGTGTGTGTGTGTGTGTGTGTGAGAGAGAGAGAGAGAGAGAGAGAGATGGAGGAAGATGAAAAGAAAGAGGAGAAAGTAAAGTAGTAGTATGAATAGCAGCCGCTATAATATGGAGACAGAGGGGTCATTTCTTCACATTCAGTTTAAGGCCAGGGTTAAGGAGCATGAGAAATGGACAACCATTCTCTCAGACCAAGTCATTTTAGATAAGAACAGTCTTTGCCCATTGCCTACTTGCAAACTTTAGATCATTTCTACTCTCCCCCCCCCCCCGCCTGCTTTCTAGGACAAATGAAAAGTATATATTGGGGTGGGTGGATGGAGGAAGAAGGTAAAGGAACTTGTTAACATTACTCAAAATTGCAAAAGCCTTACAACTAGCTCTGAGCCAGCCAGCCCACTTCCCCCACCAGGCAGGATGCAGAAGGTGCACCTTGCTCAAGGTCATCTAGCTCCCAGCTAACAGGGCAGTACCAATCCCGGTTCTTCTGACATACTAACTAGCTTATACTTTGAGGGTGGGACAACCCCAAGGGGAATCAAGGGATTCCCTGTTTTGGAATGAAAATTAAGAGAAGCAGGGATTTTACTCTCTACCCAAGGAAATATTAGGCCAGCAGGTCCTGGTACTTCCTTTTCCTCTTCTCTGAAGTTTTCTCTTCTCGCTAAAGTACCTGGGAGACTGGGTGCTGGAAAGGAAGAGAGAAGTGGGACCAGCACCAAAGAGAAAGTTTGCCTTAGCTCTGAGCAGGAGGGCAGGGAAAGAGAGGGAAGCCTGGGTGGGAGGCAGAGTACGCGAATGAAAGGGAATGGGCTTGCTAGAAATCAGAGCGAAGAAGGGCAAGGAAAGACACTGATAAGAGTCAAGATGATAAAGCATCTAGGCTAAAAGTCAAAAAGAAGAGAGTCAAAGAGGGCAGAAAAGGAATAAAAGTCTAGAAAGGAATAAAAGTTTCGAGAAGAGCGAGTTACAGAGAGCGTCAGTGTGGAGAGAGAGCCGGAGTGCCCCATCTCGGCTCGCCAGGACCGAGTTGGAACCTAGGCAGGCAGAAGCGAGGGAAGGGCGCCCGGTTGTGCACCCGCCCGGCAGAGGTAGAGCGGGTGGGAAGAGGTGGGTGCAGGAGGCAGGACCCGATCATTGTCCCCTCGGAGTTGGAGTGGCCGGGCGGGCGAGAGAGTGGCCAGGCAGGCGCTCGCTCACCGATTCGGGCGGCCGGCACTGTCCTCCGTCCGGGGGCTGCGGGCGGGCGCGGGCGGTGGCCAGGAGGGCGGCGAGCAGCGGCCCCGCCAGGGCGGCGTGCATCCTGCCAGGGCCCGCGGGGCGCGGGGGACCCTCTTGGGCGGCGCCCCCTCAACAGGCGGGGAGCCCCCAGCTGGGCAAGGAGGTTTCTCAGGAGCGCGGGGCTCCAGCAACGGGATGCTGGGAACCCTCCGGGGCGTGGCTGGATGTCCCTGCAGGACCTGGGGGTCCCTGTGGGGCGGGGCTCCGTCTATGAGAAGCGGGGGACCCTCTGGGGCGGGGCGGGGCCCCCCCTAACCAAGGCGCGCAGCCCTGTCCACTGGGCCGGGGTTCAGAAAGTACGCGCGAGTGCTGGGGCACGCGGGAGCCCCAGAGCTGTGTCCAAGTCCAGGGACGCGTGAGATTCCTGGGGTACTACCTAGATCCTAGGGTGCGCAGGGGTTCCAGGACTATGCTGGGGACTCGGGGCGCGCAAAGATCCCAGGGGTGCCTACGCTCCAGGGGGCGCGCAGTGGGACAAGTGCGGCAGAGGGCGCGGCGGGGCTGAGGGTCGGCTTTGGGGCGCCCGGCTACCCCCGAGCCCGGCTCAGAGGGGCGGCGGGCGGCCGCGCGGC